GAGACTCGGCAGGAGCCAGGACTCCTGGGTCCCCTTTGGGAGGAGACTCGGCAGGAGCCAGGACTCCTGGGTCCCCTCTGGGAGGAGACTCGGCAGGAGCCAGGACTCCTGGGTCCCCTTTGGGAGGAGACTCGGCAGGAGCCAGGACTCCTGGGTCCCCTTTGGGAGGAGACTGGGCAGGAGCCAGGACTCCTGGGTCCCCTTTGGGAGGAGACTCGGCAGGAGCCAGGACTCCTGGGTCCCCTCTGGGAGGAGACTCGGCAGGAGCCAGGACTCCTGGGTCCCCTCTGGGAGGAGACTCGGCAGGAGCCAGGACTCCTGGGTCCCCTCTGGGAGGAGACTCGGCAGGAGCCAGGACTCCTGGGTCCCCTCTGGGAGGAGACTCGGCAGGAGCCAGGACTCCTGGGTCCCCTTTGGGAGGAGACTCGGCAGGAGCCAGGACTCCTGGGTCCCCTTTGGGAGGAGACTCGGCAGGAGCCAGGACTCCTGGGTCCCCTCTGGGAGGAGACTCGGCAGGAGCCCGGACTCCTGGGTCCCCTTTGGGAGGAGACTCTGCAGGAGCCAGGACTCCTGGGTCCCCTTTGGGAGGAGACTCGGCAGGAGCCAGGACTCCTGGGTCCTCTTTCTGGCAGGCAAAAGCCATCTTCCTCTCTAGCTGACTATGCCTTCAAAAAATGAATATTTCTATCCAGGTGGCATTCATGTTCTCCTCATAACGGCTCCCTGAGGGAGCTACATGGCTGTGGGGCGATTTGAACCCAGGACTCCCAGGCTCCCATATCCCAGTCAAACCACAGCCCCACACTGGATCCTTGTAGGCATCTCCACCTCTCAAGACTAGGCCTGCAGGGACATCTCTCCTGACATTATTTTTGTCCCCTTCTTGATATTGTGTGGAAACTGCAACAAGTCTTCTTGCCCCTTAAAGGCTAACAAATAACTGATGGCATAAAAGCGTCCTTGGTGTGGTTCTCTGATCCAAACTGGATTGTTTCCCAGGGGACTTTGCCCCCTTCTGCCTCCCTCAGCAACCTGTGAGTCAGGTGGGAAAGTCCCAGGGCAGTTCCCAGAACAAGGCCTTTTTATTTTTAATGTTTGTTTTCATTTTTACTTATAACAAAATGTTTGTTTTCATTTTTACATTTTACTGAGGGTGCAGTAAACAGTCTTTGGCAAGTTCCAATAATCTAAATTTTGTTTGCATGCCAAGCTAGCAAAGGAATCTCAAGTGACATCATTTCAGGCTGCTTGACTGACATTTCTCACAGGAATTGAAGAACGGAGGCAGATTTTGCTGAGAAAGTAGTCGTCCTTCATTAACAGTGGTGTTTGTGTGTGTTTGTCTCCTGCCCTGACGCTCTCTCTCTGCCACAAGACACCCTCATCCATTTCTCCACAGTCCCTAGTTGTCTTTTCTCATTTTCCCTTTTTTGTGATCCTCTGCTGCCCCCTGCTGGCTGCTTTCTTCCCCAGCTGAAATGGAAATCAGGTGATTTCTAGGAAATCCTTCAAGGGACCAGTTGAAGCAAGTCACGGGTTGCAAAAAAAAGGTCAAGGTTCCCACATATGTCACAGCTTTGGAATCGGTGCAAGTGGGTGTATGCCTACCTATGGTATGGAAAAATGGAAATATATAAAAGTTTTACAAATCACGTAATCAGAAAAGACCTATTTAGAGTATGGGGAACGTATAAAAACTTATTAGAAAGAAAAACACCACTGTGGATATCCCCAGTGGAAGCTACAACCAGGAAAAGAATAAATATGGATAAGCAGTGGTTAACTTACAGTGAAATTTTATCTCTTACAGGACAGGAACCAAAACTGAGAAATCTCGAGGAATCAAAAAATCTGGTTGCCAATTAGCTACAGGTACATCACATTAATGAATAGTTTAAGATAGATAGGAAAAATGGCTTTGCAGAACAAAAGTCTCAGTTTACCAAAGACCTTTTAGATACAAATATAAAAGTATTATCAAATATGTACAAACTGCTGTTGGAGTGAGAAACAAAAGAGGAATTTGTGAAATTTAGCAGGATTAAGTGGGCACAGGATGTGGGTCACAAAATCGATCATGAATTGTGGGGAAAGTTGTGGAAAATAAATATGAATTTAACAGCAAATTATGCGATAAAAAATTGTATGATGAAAATGGCCCACAGACGTTATTTAACACCCCACCAGAATGACAAAAATGTCTAAATAAGAAAAAGGTATATTTTGGAAGTGTAATGAAATTGAGGAATCTTTTATTCACATGTGTTGGTCGTGTAAAATAATTAAGGGATATTGGGAAACGATATAAAATGAATTTAAAAAGATACACCTGAGAGTTTGCTTTTGGGGATGGTAACAACAGAGGTCCCCCCAAAAAACTTAAAGAGTTTATTACTATACGCCATTGCCGCAGTTAGAACCTCATTGGCACCAAGGTGGAGAACAAGGATAGAACCCACTCAGGAAGAACGGCAGTGTAAAATGTTTGAATGTACTGAACTAGCTGGTCTGACGAACAGGATAAGAGAAAAGAGATATAAGGAATATAAGGAGGAATGGATGTTGTTTCTTGAATATTTCAAGAACCAGTCTAGAGAAAGACATAGCTTAGCAGGTCTCGTATAAATCCAGCAGTTGAAATAGATGAGAGTATTTAATAGATAACAAATTGGATGATTAAAAAGATGTGGATTACGCAGAGTAGTAGGAAAGCAAAGGAACCAGGAAAAGTGTGGAAGGAAAGTCATATGGTATATGTATACATGTTGTATTTGGTATGAAGTTGTAAGTGGGGCGAGGGAAGGAGGGGGGGTTAAATATGCTCTGTTCCCCTCTCCACGGAGGCGTTTTCAAGGTGGGCACCCACCCCCCACACACAGATGGAGGAGCTGCTCAAATGTTAACATACGTCTCAGTCTACAACCTTCTAAGATTATACAATAAAATTATAATGGTACAGGAATAATAATTAGGAGTGTTTTGCAACCATCAGTGCAGTTCTCCATGGGTTTCCTAGATGTTCACGCACAAATGATTTTGCAGCGCTCCAATGTCGCCTTAAGTTGTGTTTTCCATGAAGTCCCATTGGACGTAGCAAAACTCACACATCAAGGCCAGCCCAATACGTTTTGACACCTGAGGCCGGCCCCCAAATGGCCTCCCACTCCCCACCAGGGAAGAAGCAGCGAGGGAAGATTTACATCCAGGGCAGTGGGAGAAAGATTAGCTCATTTTAAATGGTATTGTTTTAACATTTTGATGTTTGATGCCCTGAGCTCCTTGGGAGGAAGAGTGGGGTAAAAATGTAAAACAAAATACAGTGGTGCCCCGCAAGACGAATGCCTCGCAAGACGGAAAACTCGCTAGACGAAAGAGTTTTCCATTTTGGAGGTGCTTCACAAAACGAATTTCCTATGGGCTTGCTTCGCAAGACGACAATGTCTTGCGAGTTCCTGCTTTTTTCCCCCCTTTCCCCCCCTTTTTCTAAGCCGCTAAGCCGCTTATCAGCTGATCCGATCAGCAGATAAGCAGCTAAAAGCCGCTAATAGCGCTAATCCGTCAATGGGCTTGCTTCGCAAGACGAAAAAACCGCTAGACGAAGAGAATCACAGAACGGATTCTTTTCGTTTTGCGAGGCACCACTGTAAATATTTTGGTCATCTTCCTTTCATTTCAGTGGGAGAACTTTCTTGGGATTGTGGACTTTTGGGGCAACCCTGCCTTGGTCACCTCCCACCACCCCCTGCCCCAGATCTGATATGTATATATTTCTTTTATTACATTCCCAACCCTCCTTTCCTTCCATCCTGGAACCAAAGGCAGCATCCAGGTGGTCCCCAATCCAGGCACTGACAGGACTTCAGACCCTCTTGGCTTCAGCAACATGGCGGCCTCATGTAACTTAAGCCCACCCCTGCAAAACCACAGATTCTGTCCCCATCTGGCTTTGGACTCTAGTTCTTCAGTCACTTTGCACCGGGAGACCAATTATTGGCACCTCCCTACCAGAGTCTGTGAAGATTCTCAGGAACTTGAAAATCTCTGGAATTCCTGTGATAAGAAGGAAAGATCCACTAAAGAAGAAGGGTGTGCACCCTTATTTATTTCAGTCAAATGGATATTACAAAATAATAATTATATTATTTATACCCCACCCACTTGGCTGTGTTTCCATTAAAAACAGAGTAAAACTTCAAACATTAAAAACTTCCCTAAATAGGGCTGCCTTCAAGAATAAAAATAATATAGTGGTACCTCTGGATGCGAACAGGATCCGTTCCAGAGCCCCATTCGCATCCTGAAGCAGGGCAACCCTGCCGTAGTCACCTCCCACCACCCCCTGCCCCAGATCAGATATCTACATACCATATTTTTCGCCCTATAGGAAGCACTTTTTCCCCTCCAAAAATGAAGGGGAAACCTGTGTGCGTCCTATGGGGCGAATGCAGGCTTTCGCTGAAGCCTGGAGAGCGAGAGGGGTCGGTCCGACCCCTCTCGCTCTCCAGGCTTCAGAAAGCTATCCGCAAGCGTAGGGAGCCCGGTGGGAAGTCGCGTCAGGCTCCCACGGCTTGCAGAGAGCTGCCTGCATCCCGAAGCCTGGGGCGCGCTGAACAGATATCGGGCAGATATCCGAAAGCCTGGGGAGACCCCGCGCCTGGGGGGGAAATATTTTTTTTTCTTTATTCCCCCCCCCAAAAAAACTAGGTGCACCCTATGGGCCGGTGCGCCCTATGGGGCGCAAAATACGGTACATCCAGTGTCTTCAAAATAAGCTGCAGCAAATCCATTCGGTTGGGCAAGTAGAGTCCTGCGGCCCCTAGAGGTTTAAGAGAGTTATTGCATTCTTATTTCTATGAAAGAGTCTCCTTAAGTAATGCCGGCCTATGAGAAGGGAAGGAAGATGGAGGGAATCATATGGTGGGAACCACAGATGGACGTAGTATGTTCCTCAAGGGCCACAGGTGGAAAAGCAAGAATGTATGAGATAAAAATTAGGCAAATTGAAGGCAACAAAGGTAGTTTACTTGGAAGAGTTCATGTGGCCCCACTCCCAGTGGGTCACCCTTTCTAGAAGGCTGTGGGGACCAGGCAACAAGTCTCATGAACTGGAGGCCTGCAGCCCAAAAGAAGGGGCTGCTTATTTCAGATCAAACTGTGGCCATGAAGCTCCTGATCTGCCTCTTCTCCTTGCTGGCTTCATCCTTGGCTGTCAGCAGAATCTGAAGCAAGAATTCCTCTCATCTCCTGTAGGAAAGTCGCCTCTCTCTTCAGCCACTCTGTTCCTTCTCTCTTTCAGCTTCAACACCTGAGCATCTAAGCATCCCTCCTCCTTGCCAACCATCCCTCCCTGCCAGTTTCTTCACTTCCTCACGCAGAAGGTGGGTGGAAAACACTCAGCCAGAGCAGTTAGGCTGCTTTTATACATTCCATGACATGACATCCGTTTAGCCAAAGGCTGGGCGGCCCAAGAGGCAGGTCGGCAGTAACAATTTAGCCTATTTCATGCATAATACACCTAAAGCAGTTCTCAAATGTTGCCTTTCCTTCAATTTGGATGGAAAGTGAGTGACACAAGATTGGGGAAGGGATTGTGGAGGGAACCACAGCAACAAAGAACCAAGAGATACCGTCAAAATCGCTGCTCAATCTCCCCATCCTTTTTTAAAGCTGTCAGTTGTGCATATCTGGCACATTTCTGATTAATACAAACACATTTCTGAAAATCAGCTGCAAAGCAAAATTGGCCAAAATCCATCAGAAAAGCATGATTACCCTCAAATTCAAGTTACAGCTGGAGTCAGAATGGATGGGTGAGAGCCAGGATTAAGAAACATCATAAACAGCATTAAAGGACAGGAGGGGCTCTGAGCCGCTGCAATTCACAGCCAAACTTGGGCAGGGTCCTTCTGGTCTCATCTCACACACTGGGCTGGTATGAAACTGCAGAAATAAAGAACAGGAGTGTTTCAAAGTTAAGCCAACATCATGGTGTGGGGACATCAGCATTACAGAGCTCGTGGGAACCCAAAGGACATCTAGTCCAGCCTCCCAAGGAAAACCACCATCCCTCATCATGTCAGATCAGACATGAGATATGGCAGGAGCATCACCAAAATGGGATTGCAGAGGGCAGCTCGAGCAAGTGAGCCAAGCTGCACACTTTGGGGGAATACCGGAAGGACACAAAGTGGTCATACCAGAAGGAGGAATCTTTTTCCAGAACCCAAAATGTGACTATCTCTCATTCAGATCCTGGGGGGAACCCATTTGTCAGGTGGAGGGGATCCTCTGTGGAGCTCAGATGGACAGACAGAAGAGTCACAAGAGCGATTTTCAGCTCAATGGATTCTCCAGATTATGCCACTATTGGAAACCCCAAGGTGGGTAACAAGCATTTCCCCATTTGGGGATGTTCCGCACAGCGTCTTCTGCAAGAACCCCCTCTGCCCCCACCTGCCCCCCCCACTTACCCTTGGTGGAGCTGTCGGACCCCTGGTCGCTTGCTGCAAAAGGGAGGAAGCACAGGAGTCAGGATCCTGGGGAGGGAGATCCCATCCCCCCAGCCCTTCTCCTCCCTCCTTCTGACCCCATCCCAAATCAGTCTCAATATGGGGAGGGGCCTAAGAAGAGTTCAGGGAGAGGCAGCCCAGAGGCAAGGGGGCTCAAGGACGGCATTAGAGGGAGAAGCAGACGCTGGAGGGCAAAGAGAGATGGGCACAGCCTGGCATGGAGGCAGAGGGGGACTAGAGCGGGGGTGGGTGTGATTTGGGAAGGAAGGGGGCAGAAAGGCAGAAGCCGGGAGGGGGGGGAGAGGGAGAGCAGTGGTGCCAGCTTCAGGGTTCTAGTCAATGAAACCACCAGAGACCCCTCTCTCCCCGCACCCTCGGCTCTTCCTCCTGCTCCTTCTTGGAGCCCCTCCCTCAGCTGACAGTCTCTCTGCAGCCTTCTCCTGGCCCTGAGGGACCCCTTGCTGTCCACAGACAGGCTGAGCAGACAGGCTGAAGCTTTCCATCAGGGTCTTGGGCTTAAGGACTAGGCCACCACCAGGTTTAGTTTGGTCTGTTTGTAACCTGTTCCTGCCCCATATTGGGGGGAAATATGTCAGACAGAGAGAGGGGAGGAGTCACTCACTTGAGGCTGCTTTGTAGGCTGATTTCTCACTCTGTTTCCCTGTGAAGACAAAAGCAGAAGGTCAGAGCTGGAAGGGACCTCCAGAGGCCACACAATCCCATTTCAACCATTTGGCTCTCCAATGCTGAAACCTTCCCAGCAGATGCTCCTCTTGTCTCTTCCAAACAGCTCCAAGGAAGGTGAGCCCAGAAGGGGAGCATTTCAAGGAACTCATGTTACAAAGAAGCAGAAAAAATGAGGAAATTAAATAAAAAAATCAACATGGGAACCATGGGAATCCAATCCCTTCACTCATTCCATTTCAGATTATTATTTCACTCCCAGCAGACCGCTAAATTTGCCCAGAGAGGGTGGGGGGAAGAGATAATGAACTTTAACAGTGTTTTATGGGGAGGGGTCTCTGTAGGGATGCCAGCGACAATTGCTAGGAAGTTCCACCAGCACATTCCCAGTCGGAGGCCAAGACAGGACGACACAGGAGAGGCAGCAAATGCATCCAGGGTTTACTTACTGCAGATGATGGAGATGCTGATCCCAGAGATCAGCAGGATAGCAGCCACGACGGCTCCCACAATGAGCCTCAGGTTACCTAAAAGGAGGCAAGAGACATTTTTATTCAGACTGGTGGCAGGAGCTCCCCAAGGCCTCAAGCAGGAGATTTGAGTGGAGGTGCTGAGCTATGAGCCCGGGAGGATTTTACGTCTGCAAAGCAGGCCCTCTCTCTCTCCTGACAGGCCAAGGTCTTCTTTGTAGTGGCCCCAATACAAGGAAGTTTTTCCCCCCTCACCAGAGTAAAGCATTAGAGCTCTTCAAAATAACCAATTTATTTAAGGAAGACAGTGTCGGTTTCTATTTCCTTTACTGTGCAGCAACTGCGTGTCACAAGACACTGTTTACATTCCACAGTCAGAGTTACTGTTGGGTTCCCACGGGAATGGGAGACTGGATGTGACGTACACTGGTTTCCTGTTTTTCAGTGTTCTCTCGGTTCTTTGTTTCGAGAGGAGTTCCTTCTCTGCTCTCACAAAGGCAAGATGTATGTTTGTATGCTCTCAGCATAGCTTGTAAATAAACTTCAGCATGCAGCACAAACCTGCTTATCCTTTCGTTGCGGGACAAAGCTCTGCTTGGGCTCAAGATAAGACGAGCCTGTATCAGATCCAGATGGGCCGGAGCTGATCAAAATCTCACAGACAGTTGACAGGCACATCTGTTTCATCACAGACCCAAGACTTAAAAGCAGGTCTCCACCTGCTGAGGCGCTTCAGCCTTCTCTGTCCTGACCCCGAGAGGAAGGGATTCCCTCCCCCTGAGACCCCCCAGAGCCCAGCATTACAGGCCTTCAGGGAAGGCACAAACCCTGAGGAAAAAGCATCTTGTGTAGGGTTGCCATACGTCCGGTTTTTCCTGGACACGTCCTCTTTTTCAGACTTAAAATGTCTGCCCAGACAAATTCTTAAAATGAGGCAAAATGTCCAAGTTTTGTTTGGTGGAATCTCTGAAGTCCGTAGCGCTAGTGAGTGAGCCCTGGTCCCCTCTGCCCTGCCTGTGTGAGTCTTTGGCTCAAGGGCCGCTTCCATAATCCTCACTAGCCTGCCTGTGAGAAGGGGAGTCTGGGGTGCGGGTGGGGATGTGCGCTCATGCGCTCCTGCTGGGGAAAAGGGAGTCTGGCTCTTAGACATTCTGCTTTGGTTCCTGCAGGCACAGCTTCTCTGGCAGTGTTTGTGAGAGACGAGCATTGTTATTAAAATTCCTGCTTGCTCTTCCCAGCAATGTGCGGGTGTTTGGGCTGAGTGGAGAGGAGTATCAGTTTTTCTAGCTGGGCGCGAGTGTGAGGAGGAGCGAGTGAGAATCTTTTTCACGGTGAAGTACAGTCAGTCCGGGGCTCCCTCTTTTAACTGAAGTTGCAGGGAGTGTAAGTAAGTCAGCCATGTGGAGGAGGTCGTTTGATTTTGGAGAAATAACACATCTGGCCACATTCTGTGACATCACAACTGCTTAAAGGCAAAAAGGTGACAGCCAGTTTTTACCTACAACATCCAAATTGAGACACTTGCCAGAAAAGGCTGCATCTCTGTTGAAATCTACCAATTCCAATTCAGCTGCTTGCCTCCAGAGACATAGACAGGATCCAACTGGGGTTCCCCATCTGAGATGTGCTGCTGCTGAAGGGAGGAGCTGGGTGGAAATCCCCCTCCCAGAGCCCACCCCTTCCCCTCCTGTCTGTCTGTCTGTCTCTCTCTCACCAGGCTCCTTCTCCCAGGCCACGTCCAGAGGCTTCTCCAGGCTGTCATGCTCCACGCGGCACCGGAAGCGCTCCCTCTCCTCGGGGTCGATCTGGACACTGAGCAAGAGATAGTAGGTCCCGTCCGAGTTGGGGGCGACCAATCCTCGGAGGGTCCCCTCCTGCCAGACCTCCCCGTCCCTCACCCAGTTGGCATCAATCTCCTTGGGGTAGAAGCCGTGGACTTGGCAAACGAGGGTCTCCAGGCCGTCATAGTCTGCCTTCCTGGTCACCTTCACCACCGGAGCCTCTGCAAAAAGGGCCGCATTGGGGTTAACAGAGAGACATCCACAACGGGAGCCTGGAGGAATCCTCTATTTTTAAAGAGCAGAGGAGCAGGGACCCAGGGGGCAACCTAGTCAGAATCTCACATCTCCAGAAATTAAAAAGAACTGTGAATAAATGGGATTTCCTCAACCTCCCTTGGCATCTTCCCCAGTCAGTGTCTATGGCGGAACTGTTTTTAGATGTTTTATCCTTTGCTTGCCAAAGCAGACTCCTTTGGAAGGGAGGGCTGGGTACAAATTAATTTATCATCTTGAAAAGCTCTTGTGGTTCCAAGATTGTCCCAGGGAGCTGCCTCTAGGCTGAGGGGCAAATTCCACCAGGTCCCCAATGGGATCCTTCCAAGTTGCAAGTCATGAACTGAGGGCAGCTCAGGCTGATCCTGGTTCCTCTCTTGAGGGGGAAGAAATGCTGGACTCACTGCTCTCTGTTCTCCGGGACTTTCCAGCCCAATAGTTAGTGAGCAAAGCCAAGAGCCCTGGGAAAGACAGAGCTCCTTTCTAGTTCTCCCGCCTGCCCTGAAAGGGTCCCTTGAGGTTGGAAAGGGCCCATCTCCCTTCTCCACGGCAGCCTCCCCTGGAGTGGAAAGGGCAGACCAGGAGGCCCAGTAAGCCAGCAACTTGCGCACATTTAACTTGAGCACATTCAGCTTTACGCATTTGCCAAAAATATTCTAAAAACCCAAAAAAGGAGGTGGGTGTCTGGGGAAGAAGGACTTTGGCAAACCCAATCGCCCTTGAATCCAATGTGTTTTGGCTATACACAATTTTGGCTTTAGGCACAATTCACAGAATGTAACCCTTGTTCAAAAATTGGCTCCCTGGGTAGCTGTTGTCTGAAGGGGCTGTTCCAGGATCCCACCCGCTTTGCAGTGCCTGGACTGGTTAACTTGGGTCTAGGAGGGGATGCGACTCTGCTGGGGGGAGCAGGAAGGCAGGAAGGTCAAGCCCTTTCCCCACAGAAACCCAAAACAAGACCTCCCCACCCCACCCACCTGTCCTCAGCCAAACCTCCGTCCCAAAGAGGATGACTCCCAGCCTCCTTTGCACGTTGTCACCCTTGAAAACACTTCCATGTGGCTTTTGGGATGAAATCCTCAACCTCAAGAAATATGCTCAGTGTCTCTGGGGTGAATTATCACCAGGCCCCATAGATGAATTTGCACAGATCTCTCCAAGCACGGCTAATACATATGTGTCAGGCCTCAAAAAGGGAGGGTGCTAGAATTATTTCATTTTTAATTAATTTTCATTTTAACAAAACTTAGTAAGAGAGAGACAGGACCCCTCATGCTTCTCTTGGCTAGTCTGACTTTCCCTCCCCATTTGCAGCAGATCCATCATGGTGAGAGGCAACTTCAGGGATACCAACTAAACTCCTCGGTCTGGAACACAGACCAAGCAAAATGATATAGATACACTCGGAATTTCTAAATCTGTTGTAGGATGCCATCCTGTGTCCACTTACATGGGAGTAAGCAGGGACACCTTCTGAAGGTGCTATGGACCTGGACAACTGTTCTGCTCAAGTGTCCAATGTTTCCTTTTCAAGGAAGGAGATGGGGACCTGGGGGTTGGTCATGTGACCTCCCAGGAGCCCCACCTGGTCTAGGTGCCCTCAGCCTCCGCTGGACCTTAACCTCCCAGTCCTGGGGGAGAGAGAGGGAGGTCCTTGGTCAGGCCCTGCTTCCTACATAGCATGACGGATTTCGCTCTCAATATACGGCAGGATTCTCCCATGGGCTGGATTCCCAGCCCCCCCCCTTGTGCAATGGTCCATCCCAGTCAAAACACTGGATCATGTGATTGGCCCCGTGACAGATTCCTGAAGGCAGAAGAGTGGACTGTACCATTTCAAGGCACAGGGTTGGGGAAAATGACACTTCTGAATGTTCCCCATGGGAAAAAGTAAAATTCCTCAGAAATAAAGGATATAAGAAGTGGGAATTCGCATACTCTCTCACCATGTGCAGGTTTTCTGCTAACCTACAGTTTTAGTGAGGGGGCTGCATCCTGCCCTCTAAGACATATTTTATGGACTCCCCACACATTTTCTATTTTTTAAAAAAAATGTTAATTTATCTAGTTTTAAAGACTTTAAAGGCAAGAGGTTTTCTGTATCTCCCCTCAAATCTGTCCATTTCAATTTTCTTTTTAAATTTAATTTAAAATGCATTTTGCTTTCCTGGCCCCTTCCCTGCTGCTTCTGTGTCTCCTCCCCCCATTTGTCTTTTGCCATCCCTTATTCTAGCCAAAGGGGCATGGGGGGGGGCTGTTTTTAAGCATCTCCCCCCCTCATACTCTGAAGTGACCTCCTTTCTTCTCCCATCACCACCAAGAAGAGTGTTTGCTGTTTGGTCCAGAAAAGAAGACTGTTAAGGGGGGGAGGGGAATTTGTAGGGAAACTGCCCCACTGAGCCCCCCTCCCCTCCCCACTGCCCCCCTCACCTGTCCTCAGCAGAGTCTCCTTCCCATAGTCCAGGTATCTCCGCAGCCACTCAATGCAAGTCTCCTCCAGGTAGGCCCTCCGGTACTTGTTCTGCTCCACGATAGGATCCCACTTGTTCTTGGTCACTTTGGCCCCTGTATCGGCTGCTGTCCAGGTGAGGGTCTCCTTGTCGAAGGCGATAAAGTCCCTCCCGTTGTAGCCAAACTGCCAATACCCTTCTTTGCGCCCGTCTGACCTTAGCTCACAACCAAGCATCTCCTGCAGGGAGGAAAAACCTGGGGGTGGGAGTGGAAGGAGACACCCAAGATGTCAAGAGTTGTGTGTGCACAAGAGAGAGATTATTATTCATTTATTCAAGTTCTATACCAACCTTTATCCAAAGACCACAAGAGAACACCACCAAAATACATACCAGAGACAGACTAATAATAATAATAATAATAATAATAATAATAATAATAATAATAGCACACAGCCCCTCCCAGTTTAAAAGAACATAGATTGTTGAATTAGCCAAAGGCCTGGGAGAAGAGGGATTTTTTCGCCTGGTGCCTAGAGATATGTGATGCCAGGCAAGAGACAGAACCAGACCAGGAATGCAAAGAGAAGTTCAGAGCAGAATATTTAAAACAAACAAAGAAAAGAAAAGAAAACAACCCCTCAGTTTCAGGGAAACAACCTCAGATTCAGGGAAGAGTCAGAGGCACCATGTGAACCATGAGGAGAATATGGAAAGAAATGGATGTTATATCTCCCCCCCCCCCCAGTTTTTAACCATAATCCAACACAAAACTGAGTAGTTTACAGTGCAATTATATGTGTTTCTAACCAGAAGTAATCAGCACTGAGCTCAGTGAGTCTTACTCCAGGTATATCCATGTATAGAATTGCAGCCCTGATTTCATTGAAATATATGAGTCTTCTTTTACTTACTTCTGTGTTAGATTATGATCTTGGAGTTTGTTTGGGGTCGGGGTTTTTTTTGCAGTTTCTTTTTCTGTCTTTTTTCTCCATTTAAAAATAGGGGTTTTTTTTGCCAGAGCATATATATCAAACATTCTCATAACCTTAAAAACCATAAAATAACACATCATGTACTCCTTTCTCGTTAAAGGGAAGGAGTACATAATGTCTGCAACAATTTGAAAGGTTAAAATGTACACTTCATGAATCCCAAACTGTTACCCACCCCAAACCCAACCCCCCCATGGGCCTCACTACCTGTGTGTCCAATAAAATTGCCCCATACTGCGTAGAAGTTATCGTTTTCCTTTTAGCCTGTTGCTACCCACGGTTTCCATGTCTAGCTTTTCCAACAAAGCTGTCTGCCAGGCCGCTTCATGCCTCTTATCCCGTCACAAATTTTACTCATATTGATCCAGATCAGATGTTTGTTTAGGGAAGTCTTTAATGTTTGATGTTTTATCGTGTTTTTAATATTCTCTTGGGAACCACCCAGAGTGGCTGGGGAAACCCAGCCAGCAGATGGGTGGAGTGTAAATAATGAAATAAATAATGAAACATATTATTATTATTATTATTATTACTACACGGAATAATTTCACTTCGACTGCCAAAGCCAGACACTTCGGACAACTGAAAGTCTGAGAATAGGCTGAATGTAACCTCTGCGCTCTGGATGCTCCTGCAGCTAACGTCTTCAGTCCAACTAATTTGCTTATTTAGCTTATGTAGGTAGCAATTTAAGATTTTAGGGAGGTTTTCTCACCCATAATCTTTGCTTTAACGTCTTTAGGGCGCCTTCATAACCCAGGTAATAAACTTGGGGGGGTGACAGACCAATAGAGGTGGCTTTTCTAGCCATGGTTTTCTGCCATTTGCTGACAAACTCCTCATTGGTCAGACCATTATCATATAACTGACCTGCCGCTCATTTCCAAGTGCCTTTTTTGCAGAGTAAAAAATATATCTTTTTGAGAAAGTGCAGGTACAGATTGGAAGGGGAGAGGGAAGGACTTCTGCCCAGGTTGGAGAACACCCTGCCCATCACCTCGCCCCTTTCGTATCAGCAGGCATCTCCCTTTGCCTCCTGAGCGCTGGAGAAATGAATATTGGGGGTCTCCGCCTCTCCTGCCTTCCACTCACCTCCGCTCTGGTTGAAGCGAGTCTGCAGGGTTACCAGGTTCCGCCACAGCACTCTCTCAGTGTCCTGAAAGAGTTGCGTGCTCATCTTCCAGTAGTGAGGATCCTCCTTTTCCGCCTTCCTCATCCAGGGGACCTGAGGCAGCGCCTCCTGGGTGTCACTGTTGTACTGAACAAATTGCTGGTCATCCACGTACCCCACAGTAATGAACTGGGGCAGCCCCTGGCCAGGCTCAGACACAGCTGTGTAGAAGTAGCGCAGGGAGTGAGAAGTGGAGCCTGGAAAGGAAGAGAAAAGGGGGCAGAGAGTTAGGGGTCCTGCAGATGAAGGCGGCAGCCTAATCCTGCTGTGTTACAGGCAGCAGCCCTGAATTAGAAGATCCAAAGCTCAGGAGGGTTTGGGGGAGTTTGTAGACCTGCCCTTAAACACAGAGGAGGCAGAGCAGAGGCAGCCTGGAAAGGAAGAGAAAAGGGGCCAGAGAGTTAGGGGTCCGGCAGCTGAGGGCTCTCTGACAATCCAGCAGCCCCCAAACGGAAGATCTGAGTATATGGCAGTGGGTTTGTAGCAATCCCCCTTCCCAGCACCTCTGCCCTGTAGAAACAAAACAAAACATTTCATAGCTTCCCCACTGCCATTCCCCTATTTGAGGTCGATTGCATGTTTATGGAAAAATTGCAAATAAACTGGGAGAGAATTGGGGGATAGAGCGTAAAAAAAACAAAATTTAGGGAGCATCAGGAGCCATGGGAACAGAAAGTACGAGTGTTGTGGAATAAGGAGGGGAAGGGGGATAAATCTTTGCAGAATATTAGGGAATGAAATTAAAAAGAACGATGTGAAATTATTTAGGTATGCAGTGACAGCAGCTAGAATTTTGATGGCCCAGAAATGGAAACAGGAAGAAATGCCGACGAGGGAAGAATGGAGATTGAAACTGATGGAATATGAAGAAATGGACAAATTAACGGGGAAAATTCAGAACCAACGCGATCAGAGATTCACCGAGGACTGGAATAAATTTACAGAGTATATCAAAAATGTATGTGAGGACCAATTAACGCTTGTTGGCTTTCAAGAAGCTCTGTGAAAATGATTGATAGAAATGTTGCTTAAAAGAGATGATAAGACTAAGATTGTTAAAGCGCAATATAAACTTAAGAAATGCGAGTAATAGTGATAATATGAAAATTGTCAGATAGGCTGGGGGAAGTCTAAAAGATGAAGATGTTAGAAATGGATGTAAAATATGGATGGAATGTATATTGGAAACTGAATAAAAATTAATTATATATATATAAAAAATGCAGCTCCCAGAGGCTGCCTCAAAGGGAGGAGCTTAATTCACTGCATTTAGACCCCACCTTCTTCTCCAACGACTACATGGTTACGCCCCCCTCCAAAGTTAATCCCTACAACGACCCTGTAAGATAGGTGAAGAGGCTGTGACTGCCTCCACGGTCACCCAATGAGCTTCATGGTGGAGTGGGAATTTGAACTCCGATCTCCCAGGTCTTCGCCCCGACACTCTAACCACAATGGCTTCCTAGAGTCCTTCTGCTGTGGGGCAGCTCTATAAATGAAGAAGGGGAGGCTGAGGCAGCAAGAACAACAATATTAAATTGACATGCTGCCCATCTGACGGGGTTGCTCCAGCCACTTTTGGTGGCTTGTAAAACCACAGTACAACATCAAACATTAAAAACTTCTCTACACAGGACTGCCTTCTGATGTCTTCTAAAAGTCAGATAGCTGTTTATTTCCTTGACACCCTGCAGCAATGCCCCAGTCATTCCACATCGTGGACAGAACTGGGAGGACAGGAAGGTGTGCTCCCAAACGCCTATAATCCATTCCCTTCCCTTGGGGAGTTCACGGCAGAGATGGGCTTTGAACCAGAGTGTTATGGGTTCGAGCCCCACGATGGGCAAACTATTCCTGCATTGCCGGGGTTGGACTAGATGACCCTCGTGGTCCCTTCCCACTCTACAATTCTGTGGAATAAATACAGTGGTACCTCGGTTTAAGAACAGTCCTGTTTAAGAACGATTTGGTTTACAAACTCCGCAAAACCAGAAATAGTGTCTTGGTTGGAGAACTTTACCTCGGTCTACAAACGGAAGCTGAATGGTCTAAGGGCACCGGCGGCGGGAGGCCTCATTAGGGAAAGCGCGCCTCGGTTTAAGAACAGTTGTGGTTTAAGAGCAGACTTCTGCAACGGATTAAGTTTGAAAGCCGAGGTACCACTGTACCGTTAATTATCAATTACTCTCCAGCGCAGCTCCCTTTCTCATAGGCTATACCAACACTAGCCATTAGATGGCGCAAGGAGCCAACACAGATGATCCCCATCAAGGAAGATGGATTAACTTTTGCCTTGTTCACAGCCATCCTGCTCTCCTCCTCCCTCTCCACACCTTGCCGTGAATGCACACTGAGCGGGGAAGGGACATGTGCCCCCTT